CTGGATGGGTGTACGCCTAACTGGGGCCCAGCCAGCCAATCACAGGCAGGCCAAGGCACCACCGCCAGCTGCCATTGGCCAGAGGGAAGGGATATTGAGCTATCTATCACAGTGTGAATGTAGACTTCCCTTTATTGATGAGGAGAGGAGAGTCGGGACCCCAGACACACACAGGGACGAGGTGAGCCATTATTTCACACACAGAACCCTTTTATTGGACGTTTTGTGTTTTTGTTTTCCTGACATTTTCCATTGTTGTTGTTGTTGTTTCCTTTTATTACATTTGTTTCCATCAAACACTGACACCTCGTCATCCAGCAAACCCATATACACGCAGAGCGCCCCGCGTCCAGGCCCTGCCGACTTGCAAAAGTTGGGCGCTTCCACGTCTTTCGCAATCTGCGGGCTGGCCTGCGCGTCTGCGGCGAGGGTTAAACTTCATTCGTTGGCTCGCCTGCTGATATCTGTCTATGAAATGCCTTATGAGGAGTCACACAGGCAGGAGAGCTACTTCAGCTGTTCATGTACTATTGTACGAAGGCGTCCATGTGCAAAGTTCTCTGCGTCAGTGTGCCTTGTGCACGCCATGGTATATGGCGGGATCACTCTCAGTGAGCGTACCTCTGGGCTTGTACTATTGTACAAAGTCCTCTGCGTCCGTGTGCCTTGTGTATGCTTCACGTCAGTGTACACCATGGTATATGGTGGTATCCCTCATAGTGAGCGTACCCCTGGGCTTATAGGCATTTATTCATGTAGTATATGTGAAGGCTTTAATGCACAAGTCCTCTGCATCAGCGTGCCTTGTGCATGCCATGGTATATGGTGGGATCACTCTCTGTGAGCGTACCCCCGGGCTTGTATAGGCAGGTCTTCATGTACTATTGTACGAATGCATCAACGCACAAAGTTCTCCCCATCAGTGTGCCTTGTGCATGCGTCAGGTCAGTGTGCGCCATGGTATATGTGGAATCCCTCTTAGCGAGCATATGCCTGGGCTTGTATAGACAGGTCTTCATGTACTATGTACAAATATTTCAACACACAAACTTATCAGCATCAGTGACATGTCGGTGTACACCATGGTATATGGCGGAATCCCTCTTAGTGAGCGGACCCCTGGCCTGGTATAGACAGCCGTTCTTGTACTATTGTGCGAAGGCTTCAATGTACAAAGTTCTCCCTGTCAGTGTGACTTGTGCATGCATCACATCAGTGTACACCATGGTATATGGTGGCATTCCTGTTAGCTAGCATATGCCTGGGCTTGTATAGTCAGGTACACACAAACCTCTCCCCATCAGTGTGCCTTGTGCATGCATCACTGACATATCAGTCTGCACCATGGTATATGGCGGAATCCCTCTTAGTGAGCGTGCACATGGGTCGGTATTGGCAGGTCTTTGTGTGCTATGTACGAGTATTGTGATGCACAAAGTTCTCAGCATCGGCGTGCCTTGCCCATGCATCAGTGACATGTGAGTGTGCACCATGGTATATGGTAGAATCCCTCTTGGTAAGTGTACCTCAGGGCTTGTATAGGCAGCTGTTCATGTACTATTGTTCCGTGCACAAACTTCTCTGCATCAGTGTGCCTTGCGCATGCATCATGTCCGTGCACACCATTGGTAGGCAACCTTGGCACTCCAGCTGTGGTGACACTACAAATCCCATCATGCCTCTGGCACTGGGAGTCATGCCTGCGGCTGTCAGTCTTGCAATGCCATGTGGGACCTGTAGTTCTACAACCGCTGGAGTGCCAAGTTTGCCTACCCCTGGTGTACACTATGGTATATGGAGGAATCCCCCTCAGTGAGCGTATACCTGGGCTTGTATAGGGAAGTGTTTCTGTATTATTGTATGAATGCGTCAATGCACAAACTCCACAATGTCCGTGTGCTTCGTGCATGCATCAGTGGCATGTCATTGTACACCATGGTACGTGGCGGCGCAATGCTGGGCTTGTATAGGCAAGTGTTCATGGTGTTAATGCTTCATGTGTACACAGAGGGGGCCCAGCCAGGACTCTGCACTTCCATATAAAGTCTCTAATTTAGCGGTAGCCAAACTCTGAACCTCCAGCTGTGGTGAACCTACAAATCCCAGGATACATCTCTCTCTCCGGGAGTCTGTGGCTGTGAGAATGTTGCAATGCCTCATGGGATATGTAGTTCCACCACAGCTGTAGGGCCAGAGTTTGGCTACCCCTTTAGTAGAGGATCCATAGTGACTACTATATAGTCATGTGACCCAGCTGGACAGATTATGAGGGGTACTATCATTGTGACTTCTTTAGGACTCATTCACACAGGCGTGCACATGCATATGGTGTGTGCCCCTGCAGAGACCTGCTCCCGGTAGGGACAGGTGCCTTGTGTAACTGCATGCAGCTGCCTGTACATCCCTATGGGAGGACACGGCTACACACTGACCATCCATGCAGGTCCGGGTGCCCGCACTTGGACGCAGATCATGCTCAGGGAGGTCAGTCTGCTTCCAACTTTACACAAGAGAATAATAATAATAACAAAGTTTAAAAAAACAATGAAAGTAAATCATTTAAATGAAATACAGTAAAAAAATAAAATAAATTAAATCTATAAAAATAATGTAATAAAATAATAGCAATTAAATAATGGAGCAATTTAAAAAGTAAAAGCAATAACGGATGGCTACAGGCAAAAGAGCGTTAGTACATACAGCGTGCCTCAATGTGGTTAACCATCTGCTGTAAGCTGTGGAAGTTGTTTCTGGGAGGAAGTTGAAGCACATGAAGGAAACTCATCGAAGCACAGAGAGAACATTGTGTGCAGATCGCGCCTCCACTGGGAACTGAACCCAGTAATTCAGTGCTGCAATGCTCTCATGTTGTCATGTGTTGGGAAGCATTTCATACTTTGTTTTTGTTGCATTTATGTCTTAGTACTTCTTCCACGTTGTCTGTTTTCAATGAATTAGTATGATAGGAAGGAAACAATCTTCTACTAAACAGGTGATCGCTCTTCAGCCGGTGTCCAATGAAAGTGTCACGCATGGCGGATGAAGTCCGTCCCCAGCAGAGAGGAAAGACGTAGCCAGGGATTATTATAATAAACTGTAATATATTCATCTGCCAATAAATGCCTTCTGCAGAAGGTTTTATTATAAATGACAAGTGTAAATAAGAAGAACGTCCCTTACAAATGGAATGGAGAGTCCTTCTTAAAGAGGAACGTCACCCTTATCCTACAAATGGCAACAAAGACACCTTTAGAAGTGTTTAGTGCTTGCAATCCACAAACAGATACTTCCAGATAACATCGGGGAACACGTTTTCTTCTTTTCTGTTGCATGAAATTTGACGACTGGTTCTAAGTATTTTTTTAACGCTGATTTCAAATATGAAATCGGTTTTCCTCCACATGCTGTAGTTTTCCAAATTTTGCCAAATGCCGAACTCTTTGGGAAATAAAAACTCTCTCTTCCTCTTCTCTCTAAATAGCACTGTGTAACTTCATCAGTACAATCTCCAAGTGCAATATTCTATGGAATCTAATTCCAGGAATGTGATGGCAGACAGAGATTGCAGATGGTACCTATGTAACGGTTGTCTCCTCTAATCGCTTTTACGTTCTGGCACGTTATCGTGGTGTCACCTGACCAATGCTGTGCTTTCAGTTGCAGTTTTCTGCTAACTGGCATCACTTCCTGTGATATTATCAGCACACGGTACACACCGCTCTTTAAAGATGGCGGCCAGGCACTGTGACAATTTTTTGTTTTGCGCGTTGGAAGTTGTTCATCAGAACATTTGATTTTGCCATCATTGAGTCAACTAATTTTGTTCCAAAGCCCTTAAAATGTCATCCAAACCGGCTATTTGAATGGAATCTCAGACTTATTGAGCAGGTTTCTTTTGTCCCATTACAATATGTCCAATTTTTCCCAAACGGAAATCACCTTCTCGGTTAGAACCTTGTTAGTTCAGGTGACACACGAGAAAATAATTTCCATCCTGCTTCTTCCAATTTCCTTGTGCGTACAATTAAAAATGAACATCGATTAGACCCCTCACCCCACTAAACATTCAAATGTCGATCACACGTCCTGAAAATAAGGATTTCCAAATAAATTCTACTGGTGTATGGCCGGCATTAAGCTTTGTGATTGAGCTACAGACCCTCTAGCCCAGGGGTGGGCAACTCCAGCCCTCCCGCTGATGTGGAACTACAAGTCCTATGAGACATTGCAAGAGTGACAGTTACAGGCATGACTCTCAGACAGAGGCATGTTGGGGTGTGTAGTTAAAGCACAGCTGGAGGGTCATAGTTGCCCACCCCTTGTCTAGTGTGGAGCGCAGATGATCGGCATTATGGTGGGGACATCGTAAGCTGGGTATTCACTGGTAGATTTTTGTACGAATATTCATATGGAAAATCTCATGAGAACATTCGATAATGCCATCAGAACTGAAGCCAAACCTTTTCTTTAGTTTTGGATGGAGTAAGGAAGGATTAAAACCCTTGTCAGTTTCCCTTCACTTTCTGTCTGATAAGCACAACAGGAAGTGAGAGGAAATCCCTCCAAAGATGGGGGAATTCCTAGTGGTCAGCAATGGTCACCAGAACTAGCGTCCTCATTGGAAGATTTCCCATCTATTCCTGTTCTGATGACAACCCAAAATTTGGTATGCCACTTTCAGTGATAACAATCACTGGGACAAATAGAGAGGGTGAATCTCTCCAACGGGGACACAGACAGTGGCGCAACAATCGCCATAGTGACCCAGGCAGCCGCTATGAGGCCTGGGGCACAGGGGGGCCCGGCCAGGACATCCCCGTGATGCCGTGCGGGTCACTGGCGGATAATAGCCTTACAGCAATATTTGGACACACCCCCCTCTGAGGAGGAATGCGCAGCTACTGACAACCTGACCGTGATGTGTGCAGCGGCTCGTTCCTCCTCACAGCTGCTGCTGAATCAGTGACAACCAGCAGCTTCGGAGGAGGTGGCTGGGCCCGTTGTCGGCAGCGATGGAGGAGAAGGGGTCCAGCGATGGAGGAGAAGGAGGCGGACAGAGGATCGGGGCTGACGGTTAAGAGGGCTTGACCGCCCACCTGAGACCCTGCAGAGCCCACCATAGAGAGTCTATTGTGGGCTCTGCAGGGTCACTCTCAGGTGGCCTATTTGGGTTATCAGGTG